TGCAAAAGGCCCTCCAATAATGAGCCAGTCTCTCAACAACAAGTAATTTGTGACACTTGCAATTAGGCCAGGATTGAGCACCTTGTTTCTCATGTTCACCCTGAGCTAAGTAATGATGACACCACACTGAGCTCTCTTTAGTTATGACGGGACTTGAATTGTAGCTTTTATGGAGAGTGATTGAAATGGCAATCATCTTCTTTCATGGGAGCCAAAGCTAAATGAGGAAGACAGCTTTTCCCAACAGCTCTGCACCATTTGCAGCACAGGAGTTGACATGGCCATTACAATGCAGTGGTTCTGTTGCAGGAACTGCAGCAAAGTTAACTTTATAACAACAGTCTTACGGATAGCAATGTCTTTTAGCTTTTATGCATTTTAGCCTACATGGCAAAAATAGGAAGCAGGCTTTCTTTGGTCAGAGAAAAATACCTGCAACTATATTTAAGGCTGCATTGACCCAAGAGGATGGATAAGACTAATGACTATGTAAAAATAGACAGCACCATCCGTAGGACCAAGAGTGCTTCATACTAACAGCAGCTGAATTTCCAGTATGCCTATGAGTTTAATATTTTATTTGGCTTAGATGTGGTGTGTTTTTTCTAAACACTACATCAGACATTAACTACTACCCATTGAGGGCAGGATACAGCAAGTTCTCTATTAATGCTGACACTGGAAATGGAATCACACAATATGATGAAATCACACAATGTGGGGTGGTGGAACCTTTATCAATGAAGGTGCTAACTACTTTCCGAATGGTATCCTTCCGGCCTTATCCATCAGAGACCAGAAACTTCAGGATCTCTACCAAGCATTCATAAACCTCAACTACCCATCCGGAGAAATAAAAAAGCAAATTGAACGAGCCAGACGAATACCTAGAAAACATCTACTTCAAGACAGACCCAAGAAAACCAATAATAGAACACCACTTGTCATCACCTACAGCCCCCAACTTAAACCTGTCCAACACATTGGTCGTGTCTACACTGGCAAGTTATTCCGGAAAATCAGCCGCTTTTTCGGAAAAGCTTGCTAGCTGTCTACACTGGCTGCTTGAATTTCCGCAAAAGCACTGACTATCTAATGTAAAAAATTATGCTGCTCCCGTTTGGGCAAAAGTCTTTTTCCGGAAAACTGTTCCGGAAAAGGGCCAGTGTAGACAGCACAGTAGTGTTTTCCGCAAAAAAAGCCCTGATCGCGAAATTGACGATTGGGACTTTTTTGCGGAAAAGCGCGTCTAGATTGGCCACGGACGCTTTTCCGGAAAAGCGTCCTGCCAATCTAGACGCGCTTTTCTGAAAATGCTTTTAACTTAAACCTTTTCCGTTAAAAGCATTCCCGGAAAATCATGCCAGTGTTGACGTAGCCTCTGTGTTTGGGGTGTTTTTTTATATTAATACAAGGATTGAGATTAAATGCAGACTGTAAAGCTCCACACAAATCATGCACTTCCCCGATTCTTCCATGAGACTTACGTTTAGTTTGATCACGGTTGCCTCTGGCAGATGAGTGAAAATGTTCTTTTAGGAGCCCTGCATGGTGGTATATGTGGTTAGTTCCTCCACATTGTCTTAAATAGCAAAGTTTTATGTTAAATTGGGTATGAAATATAGTGTCAAAAATATCATTAGCCCACAGACATTTTCCTCCCCCCCCCCCGCATCCTCCTCCTGTTCTGAAATTTGATTTGTCCTTTTCATATGTGTTCATTTTTTAAATTGTATCCTTTGGTATATATGGTTGTGACAATTTTTTTCCACTATTTGATCTGAGGTAGTGGGTCTGTCCCACGAATGCTCATCACCTAATAAACCATCTTGTTAGTCTTTAAAGTGCTACATAGACCTGTTTTTTTATCTATCCACTGACTTTGATCTTTATCTACTCAGGTTTAGCACCCTTTCTCCTGATACTTTATGCATAGAGGTAGGGGGATGGGCGACAGAACATCTTTCTCCCCTCCCTCCCCCCCTTCCCTTCTCCTATTCATTTCGAGTTTCCTTATCCTCTAATCATAACTCCGGTCATCTGAAGAAGTGGGCTGTGCCCACGAAAGCTCATGATACCATCTACATATTGTGTTAATCTATAAAGTGCTACCAGACCATTTGGTTGCTGTTTTTTTCTGTAACAGACTAATTCGGCTACCCCCTGAAGCTTATGATTCTTAGAAACACAGAACTGGAAAGAACCATGAGAGGTCATCAAGTCCAGTCCCGTGTACCTATGGCAGGACCAACCATCATTTAGAGCAGAGGTGGGCAATAAGCTAGACATGGCTTGCCAAGGTTAGCCCAGGCAGGCTGTCGATGGTTTGTTTTCCTTCACCTCCGCAGGTACAGCTGCCTGAAGTTCCCATTGGATGGGATCAGCAATCTGTGGCGAACAGGAGTTTCAAGAGGCCAGACCTGTGGAGGTGCAGGTAAATAAATTGCTGGTGAACTGCCAGGGATAATTCTGGAGAACTCTGTCCAGCCCGTGGGCTGGTTATTACCCACTGCTGATCTAGAATATCCCTGAGAGGTATTTGTCTAGCCTGCTCTTAAAAATCTTCACTGATAGACATTCTGCAGCGTCTCAAGATAATTTATTCCAGTGTTTAACAACCCTAACAGGAAGTTTTTTCTACATCCAGCCTAAACCTTCCTTGAGCCCATTACTTCTTGTCCTATGATCAGAGATTAAGGAGAGTATTTTTTTCTCCTTCCTCTCTGTAACAACCTTTTATGTCTTTGAAAGCTGTTATCATATCTCCTCTTAGTTTCTCTTTTCCAGACTAAACAAACCCAGTCTTCCCTCAAAGGTCACATTTTTTAGACCTTTAATCATTTTGGTTGCTCTTCTCTGGACTTTTCCCAATTTGGCCACATATTTCCTGTAATGTGCCCAGTGTTGGATACACTGCACCTGTTGAGGCATAATCAGCATGGAGTAGAGTAAAAGAATTACTTTTCGTGTCTTGCTTACAATACTCCTGCCGATACATTCCAAAATGATGTTTGTTTTTTCTTTCAGCTATGTCTCACTCATTTCCCATTTTGTATATGTGTAAGTGATTGTTCCTTCCTAAGGAGTAATTTGCATTTGTCCGTACTGAATTTCATCCTATTTACCAGTTTGTCCTGATTATTTTGAATTATAATCCAAGCTTCCAAAGCACTTGCAAACCCTCCCAGCTTGGTATCATCTGCAAAATTTATAAGCATACTCTCTATGCCATTATGTAAATCACTAATGAAGATATTGAACAGAACTGATCCCTGTGGAACCCTATTTATTAGTCCCTTCTTGCATGACTCTGAAGCATTGATCACTACTACTCTCAGAGAATGGTTATTGAACCAGTTATGCATCCATCTTAGAGTAGCTCCATTAGATTGTATTTTCCTAGTTCGTTAATGAGAAGGTCATGTGAGACTATATCAAATATGTTACTAAAGTCTTGATATGCCTCATCTACCACTTTCCCCTTATCCACAAGGCTTACCAAAATGGAGTCCAGAGCTTTGGGTTTTATTTCCCACTGTGTCACTGAGGGACCTTGGCTAGGTCATTTAGTCATTCAATGCCACAGTTTCCTGACCTGTTGAATAATAATCATTTATCTCAGAGGGAGGTTGTGGGGATTAATTAATGTCAATAAAGTACTTTGATTTGTCCATCTCTGCAGCCCACTGCCAGAGGCATTTGTTTAAAACACAGGGAGTTTGGGGAGTAAAGCTATGGGAATTAACAGCTATTTCCTCCCAGTGTAGTTATATCAGTGCCTTGATACCTATAGGATTTCTCTTCTGCTGCTACTGTTACCCACTTCGGTGCACCATCATTTTAATAAGCCATGCTAAAAAGGAACTTTTTCTTCTGTTTGGATAGCAACCAGTCACCCTTATTCAGCTTCTGATTCATTACAGAAGCTGTTACCTACTCCCATGATAAAGCCTTACTTGGTATTTCTGTGAGCACTGCAGCACATGTCAAATCAAAACTTAAGTCAAGCTAATCTGAATAATACATCTGCACTTACACAGTACGGCCAAAGAACAAAATGGGCACAATGTAATTCTTGTGCTGAAGGACTAACATGGCACTGTGTAGCTTACAGAAGGCTGCTGGAACAATCATAGGAAATATCTCAAGATTTAAATTGATCAAATGCATAAAACAGAAATCATGGTCCATTCTGCTTCATATTTTTACCAGGTGTCCTAGATAGAATACGACTGCAAAAGAGATTAAAAAAATCATTCCAAACATACATTGCAAGTGCCTCTGTCTGTCTGGATTATTGAGTTTTGTATAGCAGGTTTCTGGATCATGGTCTTTATTTTTATGCAAATTGTGATAAAAAAAATTTTTGGAAGTAAAAATTTGTTTCGCTCAATGATTAAACAAATGTTTCCCCTGAAATCTATCTAAATGATATATTCTGCAAAAATCTGTGCTGCTGAGGAAAAAAACCCTCCCAGTGGGAGTTGTTAAAAAACCTAACAAAAACAGCACTGTGCAACTTCTCAGATTTGTGAAAACCCTATTTACTAGGTGGATTGTGTTGTTTAGAGATTCAGGGCCATATTTGCTTTCCTTATTCACATGCCTGGTTCCACTGATGCTGCTATTTTTTTACCTAAATAACCCATCTGTTTTCCAAACCTTGATATTCAATTTCAAGCTACTCTAGAAACTGACACATTACACTGAAACTTAGGAAGTCACTACATTCCATCTACATCAGGGGTGGGTAAAAATATTTGACAGGGGGCCACTCCATAAATTTGGAAAGTGGACGAGGGCTGCACTTTTTGATATATATTAATGGAGGAGGTGTGGGATCTGGGATGGAGGCTAGGTTCAGAAGGGAGCTTGGGGTAAGGGAGAGAGTTTGGGTGAAGGAGGCAGTTGTGACCTGGGGCACTGGACTGGGGTTCAGGAGTTTGAATTGTGACCTAGGGCAGGGAATTGGGGTACAGGATGTGCAGGAGTTTGGGCTGTGAGCTAGGGCAGGAGGACTGTGATCAGGGGCAGGAGATTGGGGTGCCAGATCTGGGAGAGGGTATGGAGGTGCAGGAGGGGGGCAGAAGATTTGCGTATGTGGAATAGGCGGGCAGAGGGTTGGGGAAGGAAGGGGTTGGAGTGCCAGAGGCAGGCTCGGGCCAGGAAACTTACTAGCCAGTAGCCTGCTCCTGAATCAGTCTCCCTGCCTGACCCCACCCAGGGTGTAGTCATGTGCTCTGTGAATACCTACGAGCCCCTTATGCTTCATGGCTGCCTGTATTGAAACTGGCAGCTCCCATTGGCCAGTTTCTGGCCAGATGCCAACCAATGGAATTGTGCTGGGGTAGGGAGCAGCTCCTAAAGCTTTCCCCCCCTCCGGGCTCAGTTTTTAAAGTGAAACTGCCCTGCAGCCTGTTTCTGAGCGATGTGCGGGTGGGGCGAGGCAAGCAGGGAGCCTGCCTGGGGCTCCCCACACCGTCCATTGGCCAGATCCTGTGGTTTGGCATGCCAGATCTGGCCCATGGGCTGTATTTTGCCCAGGGCTGATCTACACTATTGAACTCCAGAGCCCAATTCACCATTACTGCAAACAGAGTTATACCACTGACTTCAATGGAACTGGATTGGCTTATATCGGTAAAGAGTTTGACCTAGTTCTTCAGTAACAATTAATAATCAAATGGGAAAAAGAAAGCAGAAGGGTTTTGGTTGTTTGTTCTTAAACTGAAACTAAACAAACTGAGTTGTATAAACTAAATATATGTTAGGGCAAGAGGTAACATGTTTGAGAAGGCTCTGGTCACATGTGTAATACATTATGACATCCTTCATCCCTAACAGTAAACTCTTATACCACTTGTACTCCAGCAGTATGGTTGTAGTAGATCTCAAGCCTACACAGAAAATAAGATTTTTTCCCCAAATCTTCTCTAGAGTGCCAAGGTAAACAGCAAATCAGTTTCACACTGGCCAGGAGTCATTAGGAGTGAGGAACAAGAGAACAGTGGAGGAGGAAGTCAACGGACTGCTCACTGCTTAAGGACCTCACTGAATCTAGGGTCTGAATGCGGCATGTTTAGGAGGCATTCTTATCTTTCACCAATGTGAGCACACAGCTCTTCAGAAGGGTCTAATCACTATTCTCATGAGCCTCCCCATATTGGACAGTTTCATTGTTCCCAAGGGTTGCAGCTCCCTTATAATTTTTAGCCTAAGTGTTAGCACTCTCAGCAGGGATGAGGAAGACCCAGGTTCAATTTCCTCCTTGGTCTGAGGGGGAGGAACAATTTGAACACAAAAACCCACTCCTCAGTGGAGTGCTCTAACCACTGAACAATGGGATATTCTAAGGTGGGGCTCCCCCAGTCTCTCCTATTGAAACTGTTCTACTCTGTTTATTGGAGCAGGGGGACTGCACTCACCTCCCAGTGGGTACTGTATCCACCAGGCAACTTTCACTTTCTTTCTCTCTTTGGCCCAATAATTAAGTATTTAGGCACCCAAGTACCCTTGTGGATGTGAGCCAACGATTTGTAGTAGGTGGTGGCAGGATGAATCTCTAAGATGCACAGACCCTCATCTAATTTCTTACTCACTGTACATCTGCTGCAGTCCTTTCATTAAGCAGGGCTGTAATTCACTCACATTACAGAGCACGCAAAGAGGACAGATAGGGGTTATAGGGAACTATAATATATCAAGTGCCCCGAGGCTACAAGTGGGAAGCCTGAAGATGAGAGCTTTATGGGAGTTCCTGGGGCAGTCCTCTGGCCATGCTACAGGTGGAGAGACTGAGCTAGAGAGGTAAAGAGACTTTCTGGAAGCCCTTGGGGAAGCCAGTGTCAAAGCAGGGATTCCTGATTCTCTAACCTGTGCTCAGACAGCCTCACTCATGAAGCATAAACGTCATTCATGATACACTTTCTTCCCCATACAAAGGCTCAGAAATATGGACTATGCTCAGTTGTTATGCAGTCTTTCATGCAGCATCTTTCAGAAAACACAAAATTAAACACTGAACTACACCACTCCAATCCTTCATCTTGAAAGACCATTTCCACCTCATGTCATGTATTAATCTTAGCTGCAATGAATTATTGAAACTGAAGTCCTCAGTAACTCCAACAGTAAACAAACCAGAATGTCTTTTAGACTCATATTTCTACTTTCCACTGTAATGCATTCTTCATATTAATTACTGGGTCCACATTTTCAAAGACCAGTGTACTATCTCAGCAGATTATTTGTCCTCCTAAGAAGAGGCAGATCAGCAAAACATGTTGCTACACATGACAATAAGTGTGTTCCCAAAGGTCAGAATGAGGAAAGATCACATTTTTATCTTGGAGACTCAAAGACACAGCAAAATAGGGAGAAAATATCAGCTGCTGCTTCTGCTGCAGTTGTGTGACTGAAGACGCGCTTCCTGCATTCCTCATCATCACAAAGTCAGAGTGGAGAGGATCCTTCTGTGAAGAAAAAGAAGATTTCCTGTCAGGAAGGGAACAATAGTGAAATGGCAGATGATCTACAGGTGGAAAATGTATGGCTCGTGATGATGAGTACGTCTCCCCAAGTGGAATGTAAAGGCCTACATGAATTAATCACCATCAAATACTGAACATTTTCTCTGTCATTTAGAGCAATTGTTCTCAGCCTTTTCAGACTACTATACCCCTTTCAGGAGTCTGATTTGTCTTGTGTAGCCCAAGTTTCACTTCACTTAATAATTACTTGCTTACAAAATCAGACATAGCCCCCCTCTCAAAAGAGTTTCACAGCATACTATTACTGAAAATGTGTTTATTTTATCATTTTTACCATATAATTACAAATCGATTGGAATATGAATATTGTACTTACTTTTCAGCCTATAGTATATAAAACAATATAAAAAGGTCATTGTATGAAATTTTAGTTTGTACTGACTTTGCTAGTGTTTTTTATGTAGCCTGTTCTAAAACTAGGCAAATATCTAGATGAGCTGATGTGCCCCTGGTTGGAAACTACTGATTTAGAGACATTAGTATTGGTGAAAGGTGCACAACTGACAGCCCTAGACGAAAGATGAGGGACAGCATGTGTAATACCCTTGGCAGAGGGCCTGGCTGATACTCATCTGTGGACAAGACACTAGTAGGGAAACAACCAACTATTGCTACCAGTCTGACCCTGAAGGACCTAATATCAAGCTCTGATGACCTACATGATTAGGTAATTACAAAAGACAAGCCAATTTTGTACCTATGGTATGTCTCAACAGGATTCTGGACAATGATGTTCTGGCTGAGAGACTATCATCCATTCAATCCTTGGGAACTCTATGAAGACTGCCAAAAAGGGGGGCAGTTAGTGCCATAGAGGCCCAAATGTGTGATGTGGGCACCTGTCCACAGGAGAACTGGACTAAGATTTTCCAACTCTCTGAACCCACTCCAATGAATAGTTATTAGCAGGGCTTGACAAACGGCGGTGAAACCTACTCGTCAGCCCCGCACTGCGTATGCGCAAGACCTGCATTGCACATGTGTGCGCTGCCAGTGAACAGGGCGACTGGCTGAAATCTACTCGCCATGGCGAGTAGATTCAGTGATTTGTCGAGCCCTGGTTATTAGCCAACTACAAATAATAATCCTCTCTCTCCCTTTCCCTAACTGTCTCTCATAGTATTCCCAGTCCATAAAGAGTCAAAAGAGCCCAAGGTTGGAACTTGATCACTGATCTTCCCTCCCACTGGCGATGGGCAGAAAACTGGAGCTCATTGTGGGCAGCAACACCATGAAAGACAGTTAGTAAGTAGCTCCCAGAAATTGAATGAGTGTGGTGGAGTCAACTTTTCTAAATGGTTTAAAGGTGGACAAATCCAGTCCACACCAAGCAGCAAGTACCTACATGATACATAGATTTTAACATGAGATTTTCCCTGGTATAACGTTTCTGTGGAGCCACTGTGAAGCCTTGAATTTTCTACTCATCTTGACCTAATGGTGCAATAAGAATCCAAACATTACATACATATGAACAAGATTGATACCTGCAATTACACCTACTAGGGTGAGTTACAAGGGCCATCAATCTTCATGTCTCAGAGAGCAAATCAGTGGCCAGGAAGAAATTCCCTTTCCCCCAAACCTTTGGAATATTACTGCAGAATAAGGTAAAGAGGTGGCATCCATCATTAAGTTTGGTAATATGTATTGATATGATATTAGTAATTATGATTATTTTCCATTGTTAATTGTCACTGCTGCAAAAGGGGACTGGAGGAGTTATATAATTTTCTGAAGCCTTTGGAGCTACAGGCTGTTAAGAGAGAGGAGTAGGTGGATATTTGGTCTGATCCAGGGGGTCAGTTCTTTCCTTTGCTTAGTTCACATGCCATCGCTAGCTATTGTAGTCCACATCTTTCAACTTACACTAATGGGAACAGAGTCTCTCTGCAGCGCCCTCCCCCTCCCCCTGCTCTTCAGGGGGGTTCCGATTGATCAAAATATGAGGTTTCTTTTGCATCCAAGCATGCTGAGTGCATTGCAGCATCCCAGACCCTACCTGAGCATAAGGACTGTCCTTTCATTTCACTTAAATTCACTGCTAGTGGGTTTGCTCCTGCACAGAAAGGAGCTTAGTGAGAGAGTCAAAACACATCTCAGCCAAAGGGAAGGGCGGGGGAACTAGCCCCATAAATTAAGGCAAGCAAGTGTATCCTAGGAACAAGAAAGAGCTCATGCAGACAAGGCACGCCATGCCATGCATAGAATGCAAATCCTCAGTGTTGGTCCCCCTTCGTGCCATTCCAAGCAAATCTCTATGTGAACTGTTTCCAACTTGCTCGTAATCAGTGAGGCTCTGGAAAAGTAATTGCAAAATAAACTCTACTCTTTGGTGGCATATGTCCCAAAGGGAACAAAGTATCTTTTGTGAAAGGCTCCCACCGAACTATGTTACTGGAATCCACTGGTATGAAACTCAAAGCAAGATCTTATTGTTCTCCATTGCTTTTACTACCGAATGTGGGCTGAAAATCCAAATAAAGAAAATATGGCTAATCAACCACGTTGGGGCTGCCCTTTTCCAAGCACTTGAATTCACTTTACTACAACTTAAGAAAATCTATGAGCATTACCAGAGATGGAATATAAAATGGGGTGAGGCGATTAAACATGGAGGGCATATAATTCCCAGACTTTAACGTGGGAACTATAATTTGTTTGCCACGTTCAGCTTGAGACTTTTTTCAACCAACATATATTGGCTAAAGTTGGGATTTCCAAAAGGATCCATAAGGGAATAAGACTTCCAAAATCCCATTGAAATTCAGTGGGATTTGAGTGCCTTTTTGGAGATCGCCAAAGGACCTTAGAATTGACTTTACCTCTTTCTGAAGAAGGCAACATGGGCCAGTTACACTGCTTAACGTAGCATTAAAAGGTGCTCAGATACATGGTGAAGGGTGCAATGTAAAACCCAAAATAAATTAGTTTGTGCTTCTATTTATTCCCAGTCAGTCAGTCCCCAGCCATCACTTGGGAGGTCACCGGAGGAGCAAGGTCCTTCCTATCTTTTCCTGCGCTGAAATGTAAGAGGCAGCAGTTGATGAGGAAATGAAAAATACCTGGTAAGGTCTCCACTGCAGCCAAACCTGTCTTGTCTCAGCAGGGCCCATTAGCTGATGATGGGTCCTTGTCATCATATCGCCTGTCTGTGCGGGAAGGTGAGGCTGGAGGGAAAGCATCAGCTCTGTTATCAAACAAAACAAAAATGGAGAAAGAGCTCAAAGAGCATGTAAACAATACACCGGGGAAAATCTTCTCTGCCAGCCCTGCCGCCTGAGAGACAGATGGTCTGCAAAAAAGCCTCCCTCTGGAGACAAGGCCGGACTTTGTAACAGGTATACAAAGTTATACAACAGCAAGATGCACCCATAGGACTGAAATAAAACACTAAAGGATAATGTAATGTCAGTGCAATATCAGATTCAAAGCTCCTGGTCTCACATGCTCTTGGGAATATGGGTTAATCAGGTGGTGGCACCATATTACCAAATGGCACAGAACCACCACTTAAAAATAAAAAATTGTGGGAGAAAACTATATACAACGGGGAAAGACAAATGAGGACTCAATTTCTGTTCAATTAAAGGAGAGGCGGTGCACCCCCTGCAAAAAATCACATAGTTTTCTTGTCTATGTGGGTATTTTGTTTTAGATAGACCTGCATCCTCTTTTATTAGAGAGTCGGTGGAATTTATTATATGCTTTCCACCATTCTTCTTAAATACATACTTCATAAGCCACCTCTCCCTGTTGAGTAAGTAGCTGTTTCCTCCCCAACTCTCACACCCTCCTCTCAGGGCAGGGATATTGAAAAGCAATGCTCTCTGAAGCAGTTTCCTTCCATGAGAGTCTTTAATAAAAATGCAGTGGATTGAAAATCATTAAGATAGAGGGCTTGGGCAACAGGAAATTTAGAGATAAATATAGACCAATCCAATCTCTGAAGGAAAGTGGTGCTGAGTAATATTATTTTCCCCAGTGTTGCAAATCACTCGGCAAACGAGTTAAGTTCACACCTCACTTTGTCTTCAGCCTCACTGGGAGGGGAATAAAATTCTCTAGGCTTTGTCTACACTAAAAAGCTGGGCAAGCTAAACCCTGTTTTGTTTGGCAGCACTTTTGCAGACAAAATTCCACCCCTATGAGCGGAGGTCACGTTGTTGACAGGAGAACCTCCTGCCCATTTACACTGCCCCGTGCCAAAGCAAAACGTTCATCTTGGGGCAGAGAGGAGGAGGGGAGAGAACAACATAAGTCACTCCATTCGCATTGTAGACAAAGCCCCTAATAGCACTGCCCCTCCCCTTCCCAAATCAGCTTCAATTAGAAGGCCCCCAATTAAAGCCAGAGAGCTGGCAGCTGCCCTGCAGTGATTAATAAGTTCATACATCTCTAGATGTTCTGGCTTGCCTGTGCACAGTGTGACATTTGAGAATTTCACAACTTCAGCACCCCCTTTACTTTCACAGATGCTCAGCCCTGCTTTCCCGCCACTTCTCACTAATGCCATTAAAATAAAAGCTCTGTCCTACTGGCTAGGGTCTCTATGCAGTAATAATCACCTCAGAGGTAAATGTCCTTAGGAACTGAACTTTGAATAATGCACCATAAATGACTATTACTCGTATAAACTAATATAAAAAACAACACAATAATGAGATTAGATGGAACGGCCTGCTGACACAAATAGGCAGGAAGAGCAGCGTCAACACAGTGGGGGTGAGGGAAATCTTATTTCACAATGAAATTGGCAGTACACAAACCAGAAACTAGCATGCACACAGCAACCAAGGATTCCGGCTAAATCTATTAATCTCTGAACGGCTGCACTAATCTGTCTTCCACACAAGACATCTGCTCATCTGGCAATGTGTTGAACTCTGCATCCAGCTGTGAGCAGCTTTCATGACCAAGTACATCTCTCTCTTAGGAAACTCTGGGCTGGGCTCTACTAGAAACGTACATTGGCATAGCTTCCTCTCTCAGGCATGTGAAAAATCCAGACACAGCTACACCAACATAATCCCCAGGATAGCTAGCATCAGGTTGCCAGAAGAATTCTTCCATTGACCTAACTACCACCTCTTGGGAAGGTGGAATACCTACTATACCAAAGGGAGAAGTCCTCCTGCTGGCATAAATAGGGTCTGCAGTGAAGACACTATTTTTAATTGTAGACATGCCCTCAGGAAAAGGAAAATTGGAACTAGTAAGACATGGCAGGCAGCAGCAGGGGACATAGCTCCAGTTAATCACAGAGGACAGCGCTCGCTTACACCCTTCTTCTTCCGTTACATGAGTACTGACTTCAAGGGGAGGCAATTAGCAATCTTAAACCAATTCCTAATCCATCCTGATGAATGTATTTGTTTGTTTTGGTCCCTTCTGTTTTGTGCTACTGACCGGTGCTAGACAGAAAGCCCATCAGATTGAAGCTTTATTTATCCACAGAGTAGGCTGAAGCAACGGTAAGAGCAATGTAAACTTCCCCCACAACGCCCAGGCCAGCAGGGAACGTTGCTAGGGAATGAGTGGCATGAATGTCAGTGTTCATGGTCTAGTCAGCCCTGGGTCTCTGCTGAGATGGGCAGGAAGGGTCAACTAGTGCCATCTGTGGTAGTGGCTTGTCTTGTAGATACTTGTCTGTGGAGACTGAGACTGCAAAAAATCATTTCACGCAGGCTCAGTGAAACAGCCATCCACTGAACGCAGCTTTCATGTATTAGCAACTCGAATGAGAAAGGATCTATGTCCCCCTGCAACACTGAAATCCTTCCTGGGGAACTAGTGAGACTCCTCCAGCACACTAATCTTTCCTGGAACATCCCCCAGAGCACCTTCAATCAGGTGTCCTCAAAAAGCACCAGGGAGTGCA